AAATTCACTATAGCTCTATAGCGAAGTTGAAGTTCAGGACATAAAATTCGTTATATCAAGGGTTGACTGTAGTAATATCAATATAAAAAAAGCTATTTCAATTATAATGTCTTTATTATTAAACCTCTTAATTAATTTTAAATACTAAAAATAAATTATTTTATTATTGATAAGCTTTATATATATTTTATATAATAATAAAAAAAAAACTTTTTAAAAATATTTCTTTTAAAATTTTTAATGATAAAAAAAAAAAATTTGTTTACTTTATTTTAAATTAAATTAAATTTAATTAATAAAATATACTTTCAATAAAAAGGTTCTTTAGATTTTCCTTATCTTTTTCTATTACTATCTTTAGATTGTATCATCCATCCATCTAAATGGAATAGAAAGTCTCCGTCCGATCTTTGCAATCCGATTGGTTAATCTTAATTCCCAGAATTAGAAATTCTGCTAGAATTATGAGTGGGAAGTGCGGATCTCTTCCATAATAACAAATATTTTCGTTTCTTACTCCGCAAATCTCGTTTTAATAAATTTATTATTTGGTTCATGATCACATTTTTTTTTAACTTTCCCAAATCCAAATAACAATGCAATGTGTTATTCTCACTAATAAAAAGTAATCTAAAATAGATAAACGACTTACCAAATTGGTTTAATAAGAAATGTTAACCCGGAGATCTCTGAATAAGCAAGTTGTGGAGTATTATTAATCTATATGGTACAAGATTTTCAACTTTGATATTTACCTTATTTATTTCTCCCGAAGGATTGTAGCCACACTATTTTTTTTTGAAAAAAAAGAAAGTCATAAGGGAAAAAGAAAATCCATCATTTTTTGTGTAAAAAATAATTTCTAAATTCGAAAAAGGGTTATTTATATATATATATTACAATAAATAAAAAAATGAAATAGATTAGTAAATTTCAGCGGTATTTAGAATTTTTAATCCCAAAGGAAGAATAACTATAAGTAAGGTGATCTTAAAAATGACGAACAAAGAATTTGATATCAAATGGCGAATGTACTAGTCTAATGCAATCCTTATTTTATATGATCCTATTTTATAATTAATTATTACATTTTGAGAATGATTTGCTAAAAAAAAATTTAAATATTTACTTGTGGAACACGTGTGAAAAATGCATACGCATGTTGTAATATGATGATCATTCTGATCGCGTGTTCGGAAGATACTTTTGTTCTTTCGGTTGGATATTTGTACAACAAGGTTTATAAATTGATAAAGGTTAATCAAATATAGCTTTATTTTTTGCGTCTTTGATTTGGTATATAAAAAAAGAGTTTTAAGTTGATTTTAAAAATCACATAAAATATTCACAAAACGCATGATAAAAATAGTCATTCATCTTTTTCTTGAGTGATAAATTTGATCCTTTACAATTACTTTTATGCACATGTCGCAGGATATTTTCTCTTCTTATCTTCTCGATTAGGAAATTCAATACATAGCAATCGCATAGCAACTGTAATAGATAATAATTGATCATTTTTTGTTATTGCAGTTTTGTTTACCTGTCAATTTCTTTTGGTTTACGTTAAATACATCCTTTTCAATTATTTTATAATTGTAACTCTCATTCTTAAACATAAACGAATTTATTCTTCGTAATCCTTTATTTTTTTAGGGGTAATAAAAATATAAATTGAATATCAATTACTGCATAATATTTTACACTTTATTTTGCTGCGCATACTTTAAAGACCGTTAAAAATGTCATTGGAAATAGTTTATGGCATTTATTCTTTTCTGGCGGATTGTGATGAGGAACTTGATTTTAAATATGGAGAACCTATCATAGTACTTGAAAAAGATGAGATGTATGGAGATGGCTGGTGGAAGGTAAAAATATTGTTAAAGTGAAAAAAAAAATTATTTTTTTCAACCGTAAAGCTATTTCAGATTCTTTATTTTAATTAAAAATTCTCGTATCCTACTTATACTTCATTAATAGGGTCGAAATATACGTGGAAGAATTGGTCTTTTCCCTATGAATTATACCAGTAAAGATAATCCTAGAGATCCTTTAGAACTTAAGAATCTTCGTAATAATAATCTGTCAAAACCAGAATCACAAACACCTTACTCTATTGATGAAACAATTGATGAATTACAAGAAAAATTACAAAGAATGGTGTTGAAAAATGATCGTTCATCACATTTGTCTGCAACAACTTCAAGTAGTTATGTTTCTGCACCGATAAATTCGGAAAAAAATTCGCCAAGGAATTCACAGCTGTCGACTACTTTTGATAATCCCAAAATTTTGTCATTTTCTTCCTCTTCTTCTGACAACAATTATATAAACAAAGATTTAAAGATTAAAAATCATCCTGCGACATGGGATGTACAACAAGTATGTAAGTGGTTAAGCGAAAGAGGTTATGGTTCCGAAACGAACCATTTTATCGAAAATGACATCACCGGGGATATACTTTTAGAATTAAATTTAGTCACACTCAAGGAAATAAATGTTTCGTCCTTTGGCAAACGCATTCGTTTAAAGAATGAAATCGCCTCATTAAAGAATCAGTATTCAGCGAATGGTGAAGTTCAAGAGAATCAGGTAAATTATAAGAAAATTTTTGGCTAAACATTATTTCCTTTATTAAAAAAAGATTAATTTGCTTGCTTTAATAGGCTCAAAGCAAAAATTATTCGAGTACAACATTTTCACAAATTGGAAGTTCCGAATTTAATGGAATTAATGTATCAAGCCAATCCAATTCAAACATTGACGAAATATTTTCCGATGTCTCAAAGGCTCACTCAAATTCGCAACGTTCTTCAACAAGCAATCTGCACACCAATCAACATACAACCACAATTCCTCCATCATCAAAAGATCTCGAAACATCAAAGGTAAATAAAGTCTTAAGTTAAATAAGTTAATAAAGTCTTTATTTAAGTATAACGTTATTTTTATATTTGCATAATATGAAGATTCTTAAGAAAAGTCGATCCTTTTTAAAGTTTGGTTCCTTTGCGAAATCCAATAATATAAAATCAAATAAAAAAGAAAAGGTAAAGCAGTCATACTACTTTATAAATAAAAATACTGCAAAATTTTTTTTGTTTTTTACTTTGAGATGAGATATTAATATACGTTGATTTATTCAATAGGAAGAAAAATCTAAGATAAAGAAAGAAAAGATATTTAATAATAATTCTTCTTCACAATATGATGATGTTCGTCCTACGTCCGAAGTAGAAAAAGTTGGATCATTGAGATTTATTCTAAGAAAAAACAAGAAAATTTTTTTGGTATATATATATATTTTTTTTTTTGATTGTCTTTAAATATATAATTGCTCATGACATTTTTTTTAGGATCGAAAAAGTTTGGTCGAAAATCAATTAGGACCTTTCAAGGAATTATCAGTGTGAGCTTTAGAATTTCTTTAACTGGGAACCGTTTGTAATTGGTATTAATTTTTTTATACTTATTGCTATAGTGATGAAAGTCATGATCGAGTAACTAGTTATTATTCCGATCATAGTAGTGATAATTATATCGATGATGATCAAATAATAAGAATTGGTGTACCAGATCATCAAGGTTCGCTAATGAAGCAAGGAGACAAATATAAAACCTGGAGAAATCGTTTTTGTATATTAAAAGGTTCGAATTTATATTACTTACAGGACGACAAGGTATATCTTTTACTTTTTTTTTTTTTTTTTTTTTACATATATATCACATAGCAACAAAAACTTAATAGAATGTGATATATTACAGATGATGGAAAAACCGAGGGTGAAAGGTCATATTAATCTTACGGGATATAGAGTTATTCCCGATGAAAATATATACCAAGGCAAATATGGATTCAAGTTGTTTCATGATAATGAACGTCCTCATTTCTTTGCTCATGAAGATTTAACGACAACGAGAGATTGGATGAAAGCTATAATTAAAGCTACTATTGAAAGAAATATAAAAGGTATGAGGAAATGAAGCAAATTTCAAAACATTAAATTTTAAACGCAGAAAATAACCGTTTCATTTTTTAATTTTCGTAGCACCTGTTGTCTCATCAAATAATGTTTCAACGATTACATTATCCGAGGCAGTGAATCGAATGGTTCCATCACGCCCAGCTCCATCACCACCAATGGATACCAATAACAATTCCACATTATTTTCAATGCGCCCTCCATCAAACTTTGAACATGATAATGAAAAATCTTCACAACATAAACCCAAAGCACAATCAACAGGAACCCTACCATCATTTTCCAAACCATCAAATTCAAATTCACTTAATAACAGTAGACCTACATCACCTGAATCCTTATCCAAATTCACTTCACATTCCAAATATTCGTTTCCGAATAATCCTACTAAAAAGCGTATTGATTCCGTAATTAACCAACCAAAGTTTCCTTCAATGTCTGTATCACTTTTAAATGCGCACAGATCTCCTTCTTTTCATGAAAATAAGTTTAGTGGAATTTCAATGGGTTATTATGTGTAGGGTTTAGGTTAAACAAAATTCGCTGGATACACTGGATACATGTTATGTATATAATATAAAACTTTTATATTCAACATTATATAATAAAATAAAATACGCTTGCAAATCGAAAAAATCAAACAGATAAATCTAAAAATGTATATGTTGAGTAAATTAAATTTACATAACCCTTAAAAAGCAATTGTGGTAAGCTCATTGAACTCGTCATCTACTGACAGAATTCACTTTTCCATTTCGTATACTCCATTAGTGAAAATTCGACGTCATTTATAAAAAAAAAATAGTGTCACTTTATTCCGAATTTGAAAATGCAATTCTGAAATGTTAAAAAGATTACAATATAGAATTAACGATTCATCAAATAAGTGGTCAATGTTGACTGTAATTTAATGAATTTCACCGCATTAAAATTAATGCTGATTGTCTGATTATATTATATTTTACGAATAATTACTTAAAAACAAAAAAGCAATACACAAAATAAAACCACCAATCCATCTAATCCTTCGCTTTTGTAAATGGTTATGAAGTATTCGATTATTCGATTATAAATATTGTTCTTTTAAAAGTTTCTGAATCAGTGTCCCAATTATAGGTAATTGTTAATTCGTGTTTTATTTTGTATGCCCTAAACATTAGGTCCTAATGTCATAATGTGATTGGTCTTACCTCCGTGTTTAAAATTTTGTAAACAAATTTTTTCAATTAATAATATTTAAAAAACAAAAAAATGTACCCCCGTCATAATAATACAAATTAAGATAATCTCTTTATTTTGAATTAGTTTTGTTTTTTTTTGTTATGACAAAAAAAAAAAATTATAGTTACAAGTAAAAAAATAAAAGTACAAGAGTAAAAAAATTTTTTCTTAAATAAACACACAATAAAAACACTAAATAATAAATCCAGTCCAAAAAAAAAAAAATAAAATAAAATAAAAAATAAAAATAAAAACAAATAAATAATAATGCTAATAATAATACTCTACTACTAATTCTATAAATAAAAAAAAATATACTACTATTATACAAATTCATTTCCACCTATTGGAGCTAAATCATTATAATCTTTTATCAAATTATCGCGAATTTTAAATAAACCCGAAGATTTCATACATGTTCGTATCGTAGAATTATTATGACATGCTAATATATTTATCGTACTTGCAAAATGACGTCGAACTGATGTAACTGTAATGAAAATTTGTTGTAATAAATGATTATTAGAACTAGTTATAGGTGAATAAGGCGGGGAAGGTGGCATCGAAATGGGTTGACTGGTGTTTATGATGAGATTTGATTTGGAAGTTTGTGATAATGCTGATGATGATGAATTTGAGTTTGAAATGTTCTTACAAACTCGATCATCAAGATATCGATATAAAATTCCAAGATTTCTGAAAATATAATTTGAAATTTCTGTATTAACGTTAGGATTCTTGTCAAAGTATGAAAGAAGAATATCTATGAGTCGAAGCATAAATTTCTCCGAATAATGTTTATCCGAAAGATTTTGTGGTATGATAATCGCGCCTTTTGCCTTGGATGTGATTGAATTCTTTCGAGAAATATCAAACACCATCATTTTTTGTACAATCGTATCAATCATTGAGAGAATATGTTGATTATAAATAGTACTTCCCGCAATCTTGGATCTTTCTTGTAGGAATATTATAACCCATTCTAACCAATTTTGCTCCCATAAACATCTCATATTGACAGGAGTCAATATTCTTTTTATATCAGTCAACACTTGAAATACAAGTTCAGAATTCTTCGATACTTTAAGCAAATCAAATATCAAGCAGATCATTTCAGGGTATATTAATTCTTCATTGCCCTTATTCATCGTTCGAGAGATACTATCTTCTGAACTTCGAGGTGAAGTTCTTTTAAATATAGGTCTATCCAACATCGTTAAAGAACAATTCTTAAATTCTGGATCACTTTGATAAAAATTTATTCCAATTCCGATTAATACTTGTGTAAATTCTAACGAAAGTTGATGCTTCAATAAATGTATTCGAATCGTGTCAAATCCATTAATTTTAACAAGTATTCCTTTACTATGCTTAACATTTGAACTCATTAAAATTCCCATCATTTTAAGGATTGTAATACGAAACATTTCATTAGGGGCTTCTAAGAATGGCATTAAAAGAGATAAAGCTTTTAATCCACGTAATTTTTCAACGAGTTGAGTGTCAAATGTCATAATCTTATAGAGCATGCTAACTATTTCACATTTAACTTCAACGTTCACCCATTTATCCTTTTCCAAATATTTAAATAGTTTTGTTAGTTCCTCAACGGTTAAATCTAAAATCATTACTTCAAGTGTTCGCATGGTAAAATGTTGAAGTGATGCGGGGAGATTATCGATCAGATCAAATAACATGTCCACACCGAGATTGTTACGCCATGTCTTGAGATTCTCGGGCACATCAATCAACATATCCATCAAAGTACGTACTACAGGTAACTGTACGGATTCTTTACATCCACGCAAAAGATCGATAATAACCCTTAGAGGATCGATGTTTGAAATGAGCATTTGATTATTTTTCATCACACCATCACTAACTATATCCAACAACACATAGAAATGTTCGGGACATAAGACGCTATGATCCTTGTTCAAGGATCGACGAATCGTATCAAATCCATTCTTTTCCGTGAATTTAACAACATTTTGTGGACTCTTGTAAAGTAAATTAGATATTGTTCGAAGTCCAATCAGCTGCTGTTGTGGATCCATATATAAGATTTGGAAGCAATGATCTATTCTTCCAGTTTGCTCAATAATGTCTCTCATGGAACGAGTAGCGTGCACAGAACAGCCCCCTTCCATTTTCCCAGCCGACTTAGTAAAACTCATCGAATCCGAATATTTTCGAGACTTTTCACTTTCAATTATGGATTTTTGCTCAAGGTTCAAATATGATTGGGGGTGAATGGCCATTACTTCCTTATTTTCTACGCCAAGTAAACGATAATTCTTAGAATAGGCAGGACCTCGATTGAAAACAATCTCTGATATTTCTTCATCCCAAAGTCCTCTGAACAAATAGATGGAGCCAATTTGTCCGTAGAAATGACTGTTTGTTGCAGATATTAATTCTTTATTAGGCGATTTTTGTAAACCAGGACAGATTTCTTTTCCACGTCGTCCAATAACAGCAACAATCTTTTCTTTGCCCGTTATCTTTGGATAATTAAACATATTATGTGATTGTATCATAGATCCATCAACAATTAACGACGTACTATCTTTGGAATGAACGAATACGATATGATGCCAAATTCCAATCTCTTGAAAATCGAAACCGTAAAAAACAAAATCCTCTGGTGGCAAAGTGTGGTGTTGTGTTCGAACACAGAGACAATATCGATCCGATCTATCCATACGTTTAAAATAGAGTTCGAAAGTTGTGCACGTCCCTGATTTATCTTCATAACACAATAATCCAGTTTCGTCTCCAAAAAAGGCAATAACTTTAATCCACATACTAAGTGTATAACCATGCTTTATACTAGGAAATTTATCCAAAGGCGCGGTTTGTAACACGCTGTCGATTCCATTGAAATTGAAATAACAAGATGGATCCATCCTTTCCGATATTCGCTCAATTGAATAAATCATTTGCATTTGTATCTCTCGAATGAAGAAAGGATCAATTTTAATTGTTGAATTTCTAGATGAAGGTTGAGACTGAGAGAAAGAACTAGAATTTGATCTTCTATGTGATCCTCCTCCATCTAAAAAATGTCCAAACATACTAAGGGGATCATATGCGGCTTCAAATAACAAAAGCACATCAGAGTTCGTCACATCATACGCCCCTAATGCCGGTATCAAATCTACATATGACGGAGGGTGTTGTCTAAGAGGCTCAAAATCGTTCGAGCATTTTCCCTTCACAAATAAAACTTCCATTACAAACTTCAAAGCTCTATTCGCGCACAATAGTTCTTTATTACGTGGATCAACCTCCATCAACATCATTAATAAATTAAAATAATAGTGTTGTAATTTATCGTCATCACCATCGGCAATATGAGAAAGAAGCTTTAAAGCCATCATTGCAGCATCTGAATCGCGGAATATAATTCCCACCCAACCTCGAAGCTTATCATTAATTGTTGAAGAATCTGATTTGACGGCGTTTGAATTTAAACCAAAACCACCCAAGTTGCGAGAATTACTTCGTTTGCGAGTTGTTTGTTTACTCGGTTGTTCAAGAATTTCTTCAGCCCTAAGTCGTTCAACTCGAGTAGTAGGTGCTAATGTAGGACTTGGAAGTTGCGTACTACTTTTACTACTTGACCTAGACATCTTAGCAGAAAAACTAGCTAAATTGTTCTCGTTCGTAGAATCGAGAATTGTATTAAGAGATGAAGATGAACCATTTTTCGTCCCTTCGTAAAAGCTCGTCGAATGCGAAATTGAAGTTTGGTTGCCTATCGTTACGCGATTGTTATTACGCTTGTGCTCTTCTTGCTTTTTACTATATATATAAGGAAGATGAGTAAATTAAGGCCAATTAATATATATATATAAATTATATTTATACCTTTGTTTATTAAATCCCACATGCCGCTTTTGTGTAAATTGAAGCAACTCTGTAAATAAAGGAGTCGAATCTAATAAACCCGAAATAAAAGGCATAATATCACTACTGATCAAAAAGGGATCTGCTTCTACGGGGCATTGAGATAAAGATCGACTGATACTTCCAATAGTTGCAACTTCAAGAACAATTTCACAACATGTTCTTATGAAAGTGAAGTGAAATGATATTAATAATTAGTAAATTCTTCTCTTTAAACTTGAGTAACATGTGCTTATCAAACTTACTTATCAATAGGTGTTACTGAGGAAAGGATCAATTCCAGGAAACCATCATATCCGAATAAATTTCCCAGTAATTGCTGTACACCTTCATAGCCAGCAAAAAAATCACCGACGGTAACAAGTGCAGCAGATGCCACATCTTTATC